CAACCCCAATTTCTAGGTGTTGCAAATTTATTGGCGAGCAGTGTATAATATAAAAATACGTATTAGACATTACCAAACAAAGTGTATGTATACTCGTAAAAAATACTGCTGAAAAAGAATCCAAATACTTATTTATTTTTTAATATAATTTAAACTGTTATACAAACAAAATGATCTGCAATGATTTGACTATTTATTATTGTTGTAGGTACGTGTTGTAGGATATAATGATACAATAGGAGTGATTTCTATGTATAAATTATTTAACTAATATACATATAATCACAATACTGTAGTCAGTAGATATTGCGTATAATGAAACTGTTTCATTTGAAAAGTATTAGGAACATACTTTACCTTCATGTTATTAACTATCAATTATTAAATATTAATTTTGATCCATCAATTACATCAAGCATTTATAAACTCTGTATAGAGATAATAAGAAGAAGAATACTATATTGTTGTCTTCTCTGCTTCAGTTCGTCTTTAGCTATTATTTCTGTTTAAATATGTATCTACATACAGGGTGTCCAAAAAGGTCGAGGCTAAACTTATACTACATGTTAATGAGATCGAGTAGATAAGAAAAAGTTCATATAAACTTATGACCGAAAATGCTTTATTGAGAAATTATAAGCGTTCTAAGATTTTTATCAATTGTTATGGCAGTTATAATAAAAGTTCGAAATTTCTTCCTTCTGCGAGAATGCAAGCTTCCATTCGTCGAACTAACAATTGTCAAACTCTTTCGAATATTCCTACTGTATTAGAAATAGTAGTAAATGCATTTTGAATACATTCCCAAAGCTGGTCTTCTGTTTCTGTAAAATGCCCGTAATCTTTCAACGCTTATAACTTTTGAATAAAGCATTTTCGGGTATAAGTTTATACGAACTTTTTTCATTTACTTGGCCTCGTTACCACGTAGTAAGTATAAGTTTGGCTCCGGCCTTTTTGGAACACCCTGCATATGTTCCAAACGAGAATTTTCGATAGACAAGGATTCTAACGCTATATTTGCCGAGGATAAATGAAATTCGATTGGAGAAGCTGTACTAAGAGAAAAAATTCTTAAATCGTTGGTGCATAATGTGACTTATTGCTAGAAATTTGTCGACAACAAGGAACAGATACGGGCAACTAAAAGGCGTAACTAAATCTGAACATGTATCAGCAAATGCAACATTTGAAATGTACTTACTTTAAAACCTAAATCAATGCATGACCAATGATTGTGCTTTAAAGTATAAATGGCCGATAATTGTGAGTAGCATGTTATAATTTTTTATATTTTGCAATAAAATATTGATTTTAAAAGAACAGAATTTTAAAATTCATATTAATTGACCAATTTTTAACACTATATACAGATAGCATTTGCAAGTTATAATTATTTAATTTGATATATCTGTTATTGTAAAAGCCGGAATATCGGAAAATGTTAGGTTCTTCCGGCAAATCCTAAGATTAAAAAGTTACAATGTGAACGTAATAATCTGTGTTTCCGGACATTTACCGATTTACATTGGTCTAAGTTAAGATTTACCGCTGATAACTCTGACCTTCTGCACTTAGGTTAATCTTAGTAAATCTTCAGATTTGCCAATTAATTTCGGTAAAAACACGCAAAAATATTGATTTCATAATATTTCATTGGCATTGGTTGGCAAATGTTAGGATTTCCCTTAAATCTTAACATTTACCGGCATTCGGGCTTTTACAGTAACATATCTAAATTATCAAATCAAACGAGGTCTACATCTCTGACTTTTCTACAAATTGTGAAAAAAATTTGTTTGCTTTAATATCCTTTTAAGAATACGCGCAGTTTCCAACTAGATCGCTACTTACAGTGTCCTTAAATAACAAAAAAAGAAATTGTCAAAAATCTGTTTCTAGTTCCAAAAAGTAAGACAGCCCTTTAAAAATGGTCCAAGACATTCGTGTATTTATATGCGGCATTGATAAGAATGAAATATTTATTTCATTATTACATCCATGGTGTATACGAAGTGTGCAATAATTTTCACAATAATTTTGTGAAATTCTAATGAAAGAATTTTTAAGTTCAAAATCGATCGTAACATTGGACTACCCCGATATTCGCATGATTTGTCTCCGTGTGACTTGTTTTTCGAGTAAAAGGGATTACGAAAGGAACGTATTTTTAATCAGTTTCTGAAATTTAAAGTATCTAATATAACACGAATGTTAAAGCAAATTCCGAAAATGTTACGATCAATGAATTGGTCCTTGGAATACGTGTGTACAGCTTCAGGGAGACTATTTTGAAGGCAATGGCCTCACAGCTTTCTAATTTTCAAGAGAAAATTTTTAAATTAATTATTTTTGAAACTTTACTGCCACCTTTCGTACATAAATTCTTCAAAAGTATATGCATGTCTGCAATCGTGAACGCAGGGAATTTCACATTGAGAACTGTGGCATATCCATCTTAAAAGACATTTATACATGTTTTGGATACAACATGAGGATCGAGTAGATGAAATATTAAAGATTAATGTAAATGTGATTTTGTTAACGGCGCAAATAAAGAAGTACAATTTAATTTCAATTGTATAATTTATAAATATACGTTATATGTAAAAGGATGTACGATGGTAAAAAGAAATTTAGAGATAAGCTAATGATCAAATAATTCCATTTTTCAAGTTTTACGGTGAATCTCCAGTAATGCAATCACGTTCCTTACAGAAAGACTTTGGCGTATTACTACTTGCACAGAAAACAACGAATGCATAAAAGTATCTTAATACTATCAACAAAAATTTTCGTAAGGAGTAATATTAAAAGTGAAACTCAACAAAGATATAATAAAGTAATGAATCGCGTTATTCATTGCAATCGTTAGTATGAAATGAAGAAAAATGGTAGAAGAATTTTCTGTTTCAAAAAATTCTAAAGTACATTAAATATTGAAATTCTATTTTATTAAATAACGATTTTCAAAGTGTATGTGAAATGCACATCGTAACAAGTAGTTGAAAAAGGTGGTAACTAGAAAAAGGATAACGTAATACTAAATAATTATTGTTAGTTAATTTAGATTGCTGTTTAAGCGTTTTAAGTATTATTTCATAAAATATTGATCAGACATGCTTATGATATACTTAGTATCGGATAACGTTTAATAATGCTAAATTATGCAAATACCAGTTGATTACACTTGAATAATAATTAAGTTTTCCATTGGTACGTTTTATCTTACATTTTATGTTATATATTAAATGCAAAAGAGAAATATATACGTACTTATAATATTGATTCGTCGACTTGTATAAAATATAAAATGTGTCAAAAACTACAATTCTTAAGTGAACGTATGATAAAATATATAAAAGACATGCCTACACAAGGTGTTTCGAAAACATTGGTGTAAATTACACAAGTTAATGGAACTCGTTGAAAGAAACAGAAAAGTCTTGTTTCAGAAATAGTTGTCCTCCGGCTTTTAGTTCGTAAACGAACTAAATCTTTCTTCGATTAGATTAATGTTAGATTTTATTCGGTCAGAATTCTTTATTCGATTCTGTGCGTAGTAGAATGCACTTTTGATAAAAAAAATTCTCATTAAGATGGTATGGAAAACTATATTTGCAACAGTCCAATATATTAACGATATGCACTCCCGTTCATAAGTATTAGGACACTTATCGAATGTAAACAAAATCTAAACAGTCGTTACAAAATTACTAAGATTCAAAAAGGAGTTGTTCAGTTTGGAATCTCGCAGTGTAAGGAGCGTACATATTTTTACTGATACATTATCACCTTAATACTACCACTAGATAACGCATACTCCATGCGTAACTCGAATCATAAGTTCTACAAAAAAAAGGCAATAATTAAATTTTACTCTTTTTTGTTGCGCTTCCTTTCCTAATTTTCGCAAATTGACATTTTCTAGATAAGTGTATCAGAAGTCGCATTTTCCTTGCAAGTGTGGCATATTAAAAGTAAGCAACTCTATAATATAATCAGTGGTGGAAGGTAAGAATTTGTAGTGGCGGGGCTGTAGCAATAAAAGTAAAAAAGATTGAATATGGATTGAAAAAATTATACTATTACTAAAACTAAGATAATTACGATTTCGATGATTTTTAAATATGTTGTTAAAAAATATAATATTAGGTGTAGAAATGAATTCTTTTCGATTTTTGCGTACAGTCGAAGTTTTATTTAAAAAGAATGAAAACAGATCAATCATCGGAATAATTTCCACTATTGTCGATGACCTTTTGCCATTTTTCTGGCAGCTTGCAAATTCCATCGCGATAAAAACTCGGTGGTTTTAAATCCAATTATGTGCACCCAGTCGGAAAGAATTCATTTTTACACCTAATATTTTCTGTACGAGTATAATAGGTGTCCTAATACTTATGAACGGCAGTGTATGTACACTCGATGACTACTGACATACTACTCGCATGATACTTATTTGCGATCATCGTGCTGCTTACACATTGCGTGAATGATAGCACCTCATGACAGGTGCTACTTACCATGACAACAAATAAATTAAACAGAAACATACGAGTGAGCTATACATAATACTTATTTATACCATTTATAATGCAATATATCTGAAACGCTTAATTTCATGCCATACGTTGAGTAAGACTTTTTTATTTCTGTCAGTGAGGAACTCGCTTGTACAGTTTGTATCTGTACTTCATCGAAACACCGTGTATGTAGAAACGTAAAAAAACTATTTTCAACAAATCAGTTTACCCGACACTCAACGGAAAATGAACAATAATTTATTTCTCTCATAATCAGTCGATTTATCTTATTGCACACGTACTGCAATACTTCTACTTTTCTACTTCCTTTCTTGAGTGCGCTATTCAAAAGAGAACAAAGAGCCGCGTGTATAGAAGTTTAAAGGGAGTACAAATTTCCCGGGAATAGTTATTTGAATGAATAAGTTTTCTTTGAAATAGAATTATTAACGAGGAGACTGAAGTAATACTCACAGAAAGCTGAAAATCCTTGAAGATGATGTTGCGAAGTTGGAAAGTATGGCAGATTATAAAAATGTGGCGGAAACACAGACGGATATGCAACTTGAGTCAAGTGTATAGGATGGTTGGCCGTTCTAGAATGAAGTTCGTGAAACAGCGGCAACCTTAAATTAAGGAAATTCGAATTCTTTTCTTTCTCATTGTTTGACAAGGCGTTTGTTTTATTGGTATTCTGCTCTTCACTTCGTCCCGAGGGTCTTTCTTTTACATCCACTACCTATACAACAGATTATCATGTACAGTGTTAAATTGTCATGTCCCAGTACACGTATCTATCCTGTCTACTCTAATAATAAATACTAGTCGATTAGCTCAAGGTGCAGGAGCCTTGATTTTAACGATACAGTCCTTACAAATGAAGTGTTAGTGTTTTTCAGCTCAAATGTTCTAGCAAATTGAGTAATACCATTAACCCTCCGGCCACGGGCGACGCCGAAATCGCGTTCAACTTATTCTGTTAATATGTATTTGAAGGGAGACGTTATTTCACCAACTATGTCTCTGAGAAATGTGTATTGTTTTTTGTATTGCATTAAGATGTCTCCTGACGATAAACCTATAGAAGACACGACTTTCGCCCGCGATTTCGTACAGAAAAATATGAAAATAGCACGCGGCTGAAGGGTTAATATTATTTTCAGCACAAACTTTACACTATAAAATATTCGTAACTATTTTACAACTTGTAATTTTGATTGCATACAATTTATGTCCTTGAATTCATTTGCCTATTGTAATTGCTATGATTAATCACAAATTGTGTATCTTTAAATTCATACACAGGAAAACTGGGAGAAAATACTGACACCGAAGGAGGATATGGTAAGTTTGAAGTTTTAAGAATGATTTTCAACAATTCCCGACAAAAACAGAAAATGGCAACAACGACAACAATATACAACAACGATTTTTCTTATTAAGACAAATTACTCCTTACTTGTGTGATTTCATCGTTTGATGAATTATATGAGATGTCCGCATCTAACGTGTTCTTATTGCAGAAAATAATATTGGAGGGAAAGTCAAAATTCGATTTCGGTTTAGATCTTTCTCCATCATTGTTGTCGTTACCGTCAAACTTTTTCGCCTCAAGATGTCCATAAATTCGCGCAAAAAATTGTCTCGGAGATGACGGTCCTTGTGTTTTCGTCGACATTTAATTCCGGTCAAGTTTTACCGACGTGTGTCGGCTTTTCGAGAATAAAATAAACGAAGAAAATGCCTGGCTAACTGGCATCAAACGATTGCTATCCTTATTTCCTGCATAGAACTTTTATTCTCGTGTTTTTCAAGCTGATTATCATTAAACTCATGATTGCGTGAAAATGACTTTGACGTATTTTCGTATGGAGATGAAACGTCGCGTAACAATTCGAAATTTCAATCTTTTATCATTGTCAGATGCACGAGTTGTTTACACTTCGACAATTTTCGACGAGTGTCAGAGTCACAGCAACGTTGTTTAGAAAGTGCACAGAAATATGCTAGAGCTATGGAAAATGTACGTTTGTGCGCATGCGTACGGGTTTGTACATATGTACACACATGTGCATTACTATTCACATAACAAGTTAAATCGCCAGATCACTTTTCTTCAAACAAGAACCACTCGCATATAGAGTAACTGAAAGATGGAGCACTGAATGTATCGGTACGAGGTTGCACACGTATCTGAATCAGTTTGCTTTCAACGTCCATTCTCTCGCTTCATGCTTAGTATGAAAATAGAGAGAAGGGATATTCGGTGCCCGTACTCCCTACCCCGTGAATGGTTCCCCACTATCAGTGGTCTACCACCCCCATCCCTTCAGCTTCAGATAATTTTGTTGTCGTCGTTGTAACGCCCCCTCTGCGAAAAGGCATCAGCAGAAGTTTACGGACACTAAAAGAGAAACATTCACAATAAATATTATTTGCAACAGCGTCGTAATTAGCGAACGTAGCTAAATATTTTTACATTATAAAACATTAGTGCCTTGAATTTCTTTCAAACGCTTATGCTGATTTAATATTAGTAGAAATATCAAATTTATTAAAACAATATGTTTGACAATTTGTTTTACACTATTCTTCTTCTTCTTCTTCTTCTTCTTCTTCTTTGTTCTCTGAATATTTCGCATTTTTATCTTCTTTTTCAATTGAAGGCACGAACAAGTTACTGATTCTCATCAGGAAAATCACTTTACTAGCAATTATAATTGTCAATTAAATATTTACTAATTACACATTTACAAAGATAAATCAACAATTATTTTCATGGCATATGAAAAAATAGTAATTGTAATTAAATAAAAAATGGTAAAAATGATTAAGTAAAATATGAATATTTTCATTTCTAAGAAGAATAGTAAAGGAGGATGTTAAAGAAAGGCCAATTTTGGCATATGGCCGGAACGAAAAATTTTACGCATCCTAAGGAACGAAAAATGTAATTGTCATTTTTCCCGGAAATGATGGGAAAGTTATGAGAAATGCGGTTCAAAGTAAGAGTATGACCATACTTATAACTTCGCACGAGAGTTCTGTCAAGAATACGAAACTGCTTCGTGTTTGCAAAGCGACTGTTTATTCGAGTCGTAACTCTCAGAGAGTTGAACGATGCTCTCAGACGCAGTGTCCACTCGCGAGAGATACTCTCGAGAGCAGCTCGCGATAGTTTCACTCTCAAAAGGACAGCTAGGTTTATGTTTGGCTCGATGTACGTACAGCGACCCAGGCTCGCGTTTCTTATGTTTGGCTCGCAAAAAATATGACGAGTTCTAAGAAGTGAAGGTCTAGAATTTTTCCCAGAACAGTTGCGAGCGTACAGCGAGGCAGGACGACTCGTCCTCAGTCGGTGTTTACGAGGCTGTCGAACGAGTGCCACGACGAACGGCGATTATAGTCTTGTAGGGAATACAGTGCTCGCTCGAACAACGCGTTTTCGATTATACGCGGATTTCCAATCAATTTACGTACTTAGCATATTCGTTCGTGTGAATTAAGTGCCGCTGCATACAAGAACCTAGTGCACCGGATTCAAGTACACAACGAACAACTCAACTTGGGAGAAAAATCAAACGAAAAGCGTGTCTCTGCGAGCTACACAGTTGCAATCTCACGGTATGCGTATACGTAATAACATATACGTACACAATCGAATGATGGAGTTAATTGAAAATAGAGGAGAGCCTACGTATAGCTAATTAGATTAGTTTCTGCAACAATTTCGTTTTATCGTTTCCTAAGTTTATTTTTCTAGTAATAAGATGTGTTATAGCTATGAAACAACAACAAATTAGTTTTTTTACTGTTGTCTCCCTGAGATATATACATATTCTATCCTTTTCTGGAAAAACACTGTCTCTTAGTAAACAACTAAGTCTTTACACACGACCTACTTCGTTTGTTATTATTCTAACGACAATATACGACAATTGACACGCAGTGCAGATGATCAGACTTCAGTTTTCCGTAAAACCGGGGGATGGTTCCCTACTACGCGGATTTCCACCTACGCGCACAGTCGACGTCTGTAAACCTACGCGTAATTCGACAGAGCACTGTATACATGTACATATATGTTTAGACTGATATGTAAGATGATACTTTTTTCTCTGTCTTTCATAGTGGATACACAGTTAAGAAATGCAAATTCTGTCAGAGTCTTACTTTTTTATTGTATCCCTGTCATGACGATTATTTTATTATATTTACGATAGTTTATTATGATTTTTATCACTTCAAGAATAAATAATTAAGCATCGTGTCATCAAAGAATTCAATGTACAACAATCTTTGTAAATGATACTCAATATGAGTTTCTAAGTGGTTAATTTACGAACAGACCATCGTCCGAAGAAAACGAGACGGAATATAAGTATGGTCATACTCTTACCTTGAACGGCATTTCTCATAATTTTCCCATCATTTCAGGGAAAAATGACAATTACATTTTTCGTTCCTTAGGGTGCGTAGAATCCTGCTGCAAAAAAATTTTTCGTTCCGGCCGTATGCCAAAATTGACCTTTTTTTAACATCCTCCTTAGCATTTACGATTAAAAATGTAGGAATTCATAATGTGAGTACGTTTAACAAAGAAAGTCATCGTACCCGAAAATTTGGATTTTAATGAAACTTTGTGTATGTAGAATATAAAGAAGTATGAAAGGAACAATTTTTTTTCGGCATAAAATCACTTAATTTTTCACGTTTCTTCTGAAAACTCAGTTTTCGCGCTTTTCCGCTTTTTGATATAATTTTGTAGCGATACAAGGTAGAGCAAAACTTTAAAGATGTAAATTATTCAGTTTTTTGTGCTTTGTTACTTTATTTTTAAAAAATTTGTCCATATCGCATATTTTTTAAACAAATGAGTTGTTTTGTTATTTTTCATATAAATACTTAACGACAAGAGATAGGAACGATTGTTACATACAAAAAATTTCTTATTTCGAACGATTTGATGAAATACAAAAGAGTATCATTTTTTAAATATCTCGTTTGATACTTAATGTAATATGTTAGGTGGATGTATATATTTTTCTGATTTTTAAATGCGAAATCTACTTGATGTTTCAAAGTTAGTTTGTCAACATAGTAAATTCTACCTGTAACTGTTATATTAGAGTGGTTATAATATAGATTGTGTCAGATTGTTACATTAGACTTGTTAATCGATGAAAGAAAATTATTAACGGTACCGTCTATCATCATGTTGATCATTTTTGTAATAAATCTAGCTCAATCTTATTTATGTTTTTCTCTCCCATAAGCTTTAATATTAGGTCTATGCAAAAGTTCCCATCGTATTTTTGTGGAGAATGTGCAAAATACGCGACGTGGATAAATTTGTTTGCAATAGGGTGATAGAGGACAAAAAAACTGAATAATTCGTGTGTATAAAGTTTTGCTTCAACTCGAACTTTTACGAAATTATATTCCGAAAGCGAAGAAACGTGAAAACTGACTTTTCAGAAGAAGCGTGAAAATCAAAGTAATTTTCCGCCGCAAAAGAATGATTCCTTGCATACTTCGTTAAAATCGCGATTTTCGCATTTTTTCCCATTTATGTCGCATAGTGTTTAAATAAAATTACATAGTATTTCTTAATTTATTAAAGATGTTACTTCTATAGTACGAAGAATTTAAAGGAATGTTATTGAACAGAGTTTAATAAAAAAGTAAAATTTGATAAAATCTTCATATACATACATATTACCTCTGATATAGGAATTATATTAATTTCTGCAAACTTATTTTATTTTTTTCCTTAAATATCTTTTCATTATCGATTTCACTTTTGTATAGTGCTTCGATGAATAAGTTCGATGAATGAATTATTCGCATAAATAAATACCACAAACTATATCGACGACAGTACATTTTCTCTATAAATTAACGAGATGAATTATTTAGCTATTGAACGGTATTTCCAATAGTATCGGTATTTAGTCGCAACATACATCTATGCATATCATTCATACACGTTCTAACATACGTCTACAAAATAATTCCCGTAAGTAATCTTCCCCATTAGACACGAATGAGGTCTGCGAAGAGCATGAATATTAATCTCTCAGTATCTTGTGCATTTACGGTCAACTGCACATTGAACAATCTACATTGGAATTCTTTTCTCGTCCATCAGTCGAGGTTTTCCACCCTCGAAAGAGCCGTACGAATTCATACTTACGTATTATCCGTTCATTTTTCTTGTTGGTCTTCCTTGTTTCTACGATATAATATCGATATTTTTTATTTAAATCACGCTATATGAACATTTCTGTTTGTTTGGTAAGTATTTTTTTAAATAAATAGTAAAAATGAATATTTTGGTCAGTGTAAATAATTAATTGTCAGTATTAAATAGCATTTTGCCAGTACAATTCTGTTTATTTGGTCGGTATTAATTTGTTTTTTGGTCAACTGTGTTCGGTCACTGACCATCTATTCAAAATACTGACAAATTATTATGTTTACTAATATTTTAATGAAAATACTGACAGTTTTTGTATTAATCGACGTAATACTGAACACTTACATTACGTACTGATGCTTTATATTAAGTACTGACCATTTATTTAAATTACCGATTAAAATTTTTTTTAAATACTGACCCAACAAATAACAGCCTATAGCAGATCGCATTTAAGGAAATATTCTTTCATGTGCTAC